CAGCCTGACCTTTCAGTTCACAGCTGGCCGCCAACAGAGCCCTGCGGGACGCAGAGACCCCAGCCACGGGAGAGCCAGGCGAGCCCCCCTGGCTGGCAGCAGGGACCTGGGGTGCGCCTGCTCCTCCCCGTGGGCAGAGAGAAATCAAAGGCTGAGCCCTAAAAAATTAAAGAGCCTTTTCTGCTATTCATCTCACAACTGCGTTTGTTCCTGTGATTAGCCACAATCAGCCAGGACCGAGAAAGGATCTTGTGCCTTACAGAAGGGCCAGTGCCCCTGTGCATCCAGATACAGCAGTGTCCTGCAGGCAGTACTTTTCAACAGACTGAAAACTGGACTTTAATCCTAAGGAAGATCTGTTTTAAAATTCCCTCTAGTGGCGAGAGGGTGGAAATTCAAGCTGCAAGGTTCGGCTCCCCGAGCAATCCACATCCAGGCTTTGAGGGGCTGTGAGCTCTTGCCCTGGCCTGCCCAGGACCACCTCAGCCCACCTGGGAAAAAAAAACAAGTGACCAGCTGGAAATTCCTGTATCATTTCGTATTATCCGGAATTCTTATTTCGACATGACTGAAAACTTTTAAAGACAAGCTTTTATTCATTAGAAATAAAACTAGGGGATTTTTTTTTTTAATGGTGTTTCATACTGAAAAATGAAACATTTTATTTTGCAATGTCAAGGCTGGCAGGTTTGAGTTGTTCAGAAGATGGCGATTGCCATGAAGTTTCCTCCCTGGCTACCGCCACGTCCTTTACGGCAGCTCGGCGAGCGCGCTCGCTCTCTCATCAGTGACAGACAAACCAGGACGACTTTATTGCTGATGTAAATCAGAGAAGCTCTGCTGGCTTCTGAGGAGCATTGCAGATTTATGCCAGGAGCTGACCCGGCATCTCTATTTTCAAAACTAGGGCAGATTGAAATATGCTGTTTTTCAATAATATATTCAGGTTAACAGGGCTTTTATATTTGGGCAATTAATCTTGCATAGACTGAGAACCTCTTGGGACAATGTGCAAAGGTTGCTAAGAAGAGGAAAACAAACACAGTTGTGTAACTCGCTTCTCCCATGTCTTTTCTTTCATGAAAACACATTGCAGTGATACGGCAGTGATCTGAAACCCAGCATTAATATTACTTTAATAATCAGAAGCATACCAAGACATAGTATAGAAATGATTTTACTAAGAGGTAGTATTACCTCATCCTGTATTACTGTAACATTATTCAAACCAGAAATATTGAGACATAAATCTGTGGCAACAGAGGAAAACCAGTGTGGTGCTAGAGAAAGTCTTTCCGGTTTATTGCAGGACTGTTCCCTCCCGTGGCGTGTGCTCACATACAGAAGGGGGGGCCTGGGGCATGCACACACGCTTGTCTCGGTGTGTTTGTGCACGTGCTCGTACTATATTTAAAATCACCCTGGGTCCCAGTACTGATCCCTGGTCAGTGCCACCAAAGACTCTTCCCAAACCCGATCCTTGTCTTTCTGCGCTCCCTCTCGCTCTCTTCTGCCTATCTGCCCAGCAGCCGTCCTGCCATCTGCCACCGTCTTCGACTTAATCATTACCTAATAAACACCGTAACAGATGCTATTCAGAAGTCCAGACCACTGAGGTGTACCACAACTTCTTGCTTAGGAAACAGACATCTGCCCAGGCAATGGCATCCAGCCTGCTGTGATCCACTCTGGGCAAAGCTGTTACCCATTATCCCATTTTTCCAGGTACTTCCATGTCTTCGATTCTCCCTTTCTTTGCTCTAAAGCTTGAGTAAGACTGATACATAACTTTTAGGCCTGTAATTGCCTCTGCTGTTTTTTCCTCTTTGCATTTGCTGTTCCCCAGTCATGCAGCAGCATCCCCAGCTTCACAGATTTACCGAGATCCTTGTGATTTGCCCCTTAGTTTTTAATTCTTCCAGCATATTAGACTCTAAAATGGCCTGGGAATACAACTGCTATATGCCAAGCAAACCAGTAATCATGGTTTCGTGCTCGAGCCCAGGGAAGGAAATACTACCAACTAAAAACCGTCGAACTGCTTGTTTTCTGACCAAGCTGCCAAAGCCTGGTGAAGGCAATGCTACCCAGCAATCTGCATGATGGCCGCTTCAGTGGAGAAGTGGCTGACTGCAATGGAAACCATTCAGTCGCATATAGTAGCTGCATCGTTGCATGACAGAAGTTTCCAATCGCAAATAGCAACAGACTCAGAAAGGATATGCAGGTGGCTACTGCTTGATTAATGTGTGCTGCATCTGTTACTTCAAAGTGGCAATTACACTATATAAACACACCACTGCAATAGCACTGCATTGAGTTATGCTAGCTGAAAATCTGTCCCTTTTACACTGGTCTTTTTTTTTTTTTTCTTTCTTTCTCCTCCCCAAAAAATAATTTCCTTCTGAGCTCAATAAAACAGAAGATCTCATTGGTTCTATGTTATAACAGCAATATCGCATTCTGCTAGGAACCAGCAATTCTGCCTCTGGCCATGAAATTCAGGTAATGACCCATAACTGAAGTAAATTAGTGTTTAATTTCCCATCCCTTGCAGACAGCTTACTAACGGAAATTGATTTCTAGCTTTTTTCTTTTTCATTTAACATGCTCGTGTAATGTCTTTATTTTAGGTTCGAGTGGTTTCCAGCAAATTTTGGCCAAAACGCTAGTGTACAGGTGACCACCGAAAGCATCTGGTTAATCAATGTTGTGTTAAACTGTGCACGGGGGACTGTCATGGCAGGGACACCCTCGTACAGCCAGCGGGCTCCTTCTGTCCTGCGCTGTGGACACGCTCTGGGACAGATCCTCAGGTGGAGTAAATCAGCAGAGCTCACAGCCATGTAACACGCACAGAAGCCCTACTGTTATGGACCTGATCCCTTATGCACAAGCTCTTATACAATTACCACGGTCATTTGTACGTGACACACTTCAATTTACCCTTTCACGTGCCCAATGCACTCCCAGACGGACAAAAGGGTGCTTCTCTGTCCCGTGCAGCCACCCTCTGACCTCCAGGCGAGATGCCCTCAAACCAAGCCAAGAGCCTCAGATGTCACATCTCAGTGCTGCCTGGACCCAGAAGTCAGTCCTGCTCTCCGCACAGTTGCTCAACCACCATCAAATCCCCTGTAATTCTTGCCGAATGTGGGCTCTCTTGTGTAATCTGATACAGCCACCAGCGCACGCACACACACCCTTTTTTCTGCTATTTAGGTAAAACGCAGCCAACAATTTCTTCATTGTATAGCAGCACCAGCATTAGAGACAGAAGCCGGCCTTGGATGTCCAACCCTTTTTCTTTGCAAGGCAGAAAAAGGCAGTAAGAGACGGTAAGGTTTTTTTACAGCTCCTACCCTGTTAACAGCTGTGAGACAAAACAAGGTTTTATAACAGTGGTGTGTTATTTTCAACCCTCAGTTATTTCTGCAGTCTACCAGGTTAGTCTGGCAACTACAAAGGAGTTGGGAGGAGGGAAAAATCTACTTTTCCCATTTTACTTTTCTGAAGTACTAGGGAGGAACCAGAACTCAGCTGGTGCTGTTTTACACTTTAAAAGCAGGACTAACAGCTATTATTTTTCTCAGTGTTCAGTTGATTTTCTGGTTCCATAAACACTTTAATAGCACTATAAATTGTCTGGTAAAGGAATTGTTAGTTAGAGATGGTGTCTGGGGTATTTGTTCCTTATTGATGTGTAAATTGGCTTGTACTGCCAGTGTGCATTTCTAAAGATGAATGCTCTGTAGCATGATGATGATAATAACAATTAGCATAGGATATAGCAAAGTGTTAATTGTGAATTAAAATCCCAAACAGAGATGCCTGCACAGATCAGTCCTCTCCTTGTGCTCCCTGTTTCTCTGACCAGTGCTCAGAGCACCGGGGACATTTCCCTGGGTGAGGGAATTTTCTGTGCCTGCTTCTCTCTTCTTGCATTGCTAAAAACCAATCTTTCCCAAGCGCGTTTGCTCAGGTGCATTTTGCACTTCTGCCGATAGCACAAAACTGCTGTGCTCCTGGCGAATCCTATGTGTTATCCTCGATGAATGCTAATTTGGGTTTAATTCCTTAATGGATCAAAAGAGAAGGTGAATATAGAGACCAAAGGAAGGAGGACAGAAGACTGGCAGGTTCAGAGCCCTCTAGAGAAAAATGGCAGGGGAAGGTATGAGACAGAGAATGAAATGCTAGATGTTATCCTTATCACAGCTGTCTTGTGTGGGAGCATAATGTAATTATTAAAATAAATGTTCCTTCCTTTATGCAAGAGGAAGATCGTGAGCAAATTAAGAAACTACTCCCGTGCCTCAGCTTACCTGCTTACAGAGGTGAGAATCCACCTCTGCCTGCTAGGGCTGCAGGGAGGATTAAACAAGGTTCATTGAGCGCTTAAAATCTGCTGTAAGGATGTTGTCTTGTTATAGACCTCATTTAAAATATAAATCCATGGTGAAAAATTAGATGAAGTCAGAACGGACGGGGTTTTCTGGGCATGATCTGTCTGGGTTTTCATATTCAGAACAGCATGCAGAGGAGAGAGAGCAGCTCTGCTGAGATGCGTAGCCTCCATACATTAAAGTTTGTATGTTGTCTGACTTGGGCATTTGAAGGAGGAATGATAAAAGTAACTGCAGTCTTGTCTTCTAAGACTATAACCACCTTAGCTGAACCCAGCCACACGAATATTGTAAGAAGCCATGAAATAGCAGGGGGGAGCCACTTTGCTGGGTAGATCAAGGGGAAAAATGTAACCATGACAGAAATAATTACCCCTATTTCAGAGACTGGGAGCTGGGCAGAGAGGAGCCAGCAGCAGAGCTGAATACAACATTAAATACTTACCTTCTGCCTTAGAGACTAAAGTGGAATATGGGCAATTAGAGAAAAAGCTCGAAAGATCAAAGTAGGGAAAAAAGTCCTTTTAAAGTGATAATCAATTATTGTTTTTAACTGACAGCAGGCAAAAGGCTACTTCAAGCCACCAAGGAAGGATGTGGGCTTATACCATTGGTTTTACTGTCCTGCCTCACGTTGGAGGTTTCTTTGGCTGGTTCATTAATCGAAAAGAAATACCTGTTTGGTACGAGAAGCTGAAAAAACCTTCATGGTGTCCACCCCGCAGAATATTCCCTGTTGCTTGGACTGTCCTGTACACTGGCATGGGGTAAGTTCTGCATACCACTCCCTCTCTCATCCTGCTGTTTTTGATACACAGAAGAGCAGCCATTTCAAACTCTTTCATTTGCTTTTGGGATATCCCTTGTACCCGAATCAGCAGGGCATGTCAGGTATGCTTATTCCCAGCAGATGAAGTACAGCCTGAGCCAAATTCTGGGCTGAGTTCCTCAGATTCACGCTGCAGGCAATGCTTTTGGCCAGGGACACAGCCCATGCTCAGCTTTGTAAACAGATACTAAAAACAGCCGCTGCCCTGGGGAAGTTGTACGAGCCATGCAGGTATGAGGCAGGCGATGGATTTGGGAGTAGCGAGGGACACGGATGCAGCTGCCATGCAAATATGACTGCCCTGCAAATCCCTGTTGCGAAACAATCTTACATGAAAAGTATCAGGGATTTACTCACTGCAAAACACTAATGTGTTTCCCTCTTCACAGCTATGCCTCCTACCTGATATGGAATGACCTGGGTGGCTGCAGCAGCAAAGCTATCGTCCCACTTGGCCTCTACGGGGCTCAGCTGGCCTTGAACTGGGCTTGGCCTCTCTTCTTCTTTGGTGCACGTAACCTGAAGATGGTAATGTATCCGGCCATCCATTCATCTGCTGGAGGCTTGTTTGCTGGTGTCCCTGCCACATGGGTTTTGGGGCTGTTTGGAGGTTTTCTAACTAGCATTATGCAATTGTAAAGAGAGCTGCAAGAAGAGCTTTTGCTCATATACAGTTCACACTGCACCTGGTTCTAGACAATGGTATCAGTCCCTTCCACCCTTCACCCTGCTCTTGCCACGCAGATAGCCGGCCCGAGCAGAGCAGGGTGGGAGATCAGGAAGTCAATAGCCCAGCTGCTGCATCTCCTAGTTAAGGATTCGGGGCTAGAGATAAGTCCTGGGAGTCACACCCTGCGCCGGCAAGCGGCAAAGTTAGCATCCCTATGGGGGCATATTAGCTGTGAGTGGCTTATTGAGCAAATACAAGGCACTGTGCACTGTAGAGCCTGTTAGAGGAGATGCATGAAGGTAAGGCATGGCACGGCAGAGGTGGACTTGTGATATATTCAAAAAGCACTTACCTGAGGTGCCAAGGCCTGGAGATGACGGAGGTGCAGAGTGGGACTTATGTTTCCATCTGAATTTGTCACTCTGTAGATGAAAGGTACATTTAGAAAGTTTAAGTGGTAATAGCTATTGGTACTAACACAAGCATGTTTCTGACCTGCCTGCACTGGCATTATCAGCAGAAGGCAGCATTGATCATCGTAAACAGTGTATTAATCTGCGGAACTCGGTAATGAAGAAAAAAAATTAACATTAGTCTTGGCTCCTGGTGTGATACATTCAGATCTCACTGATCAGAGTTCAGAGCCAAGGTCCTGGGGTTTAGGATCACTCTAGGTGACTTTTCAGTGCTAAACCTCCCCCATTTCTATGCCATCTCACCACCTTTAGTAGGACGGTTTACAGTCGTGCTGGGGAAGACTGCCGCGTGTTCCTAAGAGTGAGCACCAGAGTCGTTGTCTTCTCTCTGCTCCAGGCACTGATCGACATCCTGTGCTTGGACGGCCTGGTGATAGGCACGATGTGCTCCTGGTACCGCATTAACAAGATAGCAACGCTGCTGATGGTGCCTTACCTGGGCTGGCTGGCCATGGCGACTTGTCTCACAATCCGCATCTGGAAGGACAACCCTGAGCATTTTTTTTATAAGAGCAGGACAGAAATGAAGGCATTTTGTGAAACTAAACTATGCTGATGTGAACCAAGATCTAATAATTTGGGGAATTCATTTTGGGACAGGCATGAGAATGCGACGACTCCTCCCACCTTCATCATGGTTGTGTAAAAGAAAGGTTTGCCCCATGCACCCATGTGCTCCTTTAAAGTAACCGTGCATCCTTAACGTGGGAACTATTTTCTCCAGCACTGTTGAGTTTGGGGCTACAGCTGTATGGTGACCTTAATGCTATCAGGTCAAATTCCATTAGCCAAATTAGGAACTCATGATACCAGCGTAATTCAGAGTATCAATCCTGGACACCCCTCGAAACTGCTACCGTTCCCCCAGAGAGCAGAACATGTTCACGCACATGGTAAATCCCATCTCCTCTCCTGGGACCAAACAAAAATGCCCTTCACTCATGCACACCAATTTTTAAGAACTTACTTGATTTTTTGCTATTTGTGCTGTTGCTTCATTTTCATGTATCACCTGGTTTGTGCTTTATACCATTAACTTTTTATCTGTCAGCTACCGAGCAAGCAGTAATCTGTCTTGTTCTGCTAGTGAAAGGAGACTGGGTACTTTGACTTCTATTTGTGGAGTATCACACTTGTTGAGTTTCATGCTCCAAGCTAAAGCAGCAATGATTAGAATGCAAATGCTTCTCCCAAGAGGAAATTTCTCTCTTCCACCTCTGTGGAAGAGAGAATTCCTTTTCTATTCCTCATCAGAAAAGAAAAACAAACATCAGTGCCTTTGAAAAAAATCCTTTAAATGTTGGTTGTTTTTTTTTTTAAGTACAGAAACACAAGAGCCTTTGTAAAATTTAAGGACTTGCTCACACTGCCTTGAAGGTTGTAATTACATGATTGTCAAAAAGCCCCGTGTCAACTCTGTCAGGTGCAGTACAGGTCCCAGAGTCTTTCCATTCCTGAATATTATTAATCAGGAAAGGTTAAAATACAAATAGTTCCAGAGAAATGGGACCAAGCCATGACAGAATCAGACACAAAAGGTGCATGGACTAGCCCTTGTCCATCCTTTATTCTGGCCCTTACCTTTGATAGATCTGAACCTTAGATGTTGCTGTATACGGAGAATATTTACTATTATTTTTTAATTGATAGAAGCAATGTATGTGAAGAAAAGTGGTAGGTGGATCTTCTTTCTGGCAGCTGACTGTAGATTAAGGTGGGTGTGTATACTTGCAAAGGGTGGGGGTAGGAGGGCTTAGCTGGGGATGTAAAATAAATTGTATTTGCTTTTAATAAAACCAAGCCACTTTTGTTTGGAGAATAAATCCAAGTTATTCTTGTTTTACTGGTTTGGCACTAGGTTTGCAAAAATTCAGGGGATCCTGTCTGGAGTCCATGGCTTGTGCTCTGGCTCCAAAGGGAAGGGGACTGGCAGCAAGGCTCTGCAGGGCTCCGGCGGCCAGACTCACTCCCGGATGCACGTTAGGAGTAAATGGGCTGTGTGGGTTTTGAGCCTAAAGGTCCCAAAGGTTCCTTCAGCTGGGGCACCTGCACAGCGTAGACATGCTCACTTGGGGATGCATCCCTGTGACAGGCTCCCCCATTACGCTTCACCCACAGCTTCAAGGTAAGGAAGCTAATCCTTGGGTTTGGGGTCCTTCATGAATCACGTCAAGCCTGATTTTTAGAGATGCTGAATATTCCCAGGTCCAACTCATGTAAATGGCAGAGCTGGGTGTTCAGCATGACTGAAAGCTGGGGCCAAAAGAAACAACACCAGTTGCTGAGAGCAGTTGAAATTTAGAATCGTTTAGGTTGGAAAAGACCTTTGAGATCATCAAGTCCAACCATTAACCCAGCACTGCCAAGTCCTCCACTAGACTATGTCCCTAAGCACCACCTCTACACGTCTTTTAAATACCTCCAGGGATGGTGACTCAACTGCTTCCCTGGGCAGCCTGTTCCAATACTTGACAACCCTTTCCGTGAAGAAATTTTTCCTAATATCCAACCTAAACCTCCCCTGGCGCAACTTGAGGCTGTTTCCTCTCGTCCTATCGCTTGTTACTTGGGAGAAGAGACCAACACTCCCCTCGCTACAACCTCCTTGCAGGTGATTGTAGAGAGCGATGAGGTCTCCCCTCAGCCTCCTTTTCTCCAAGCTAAACAACCCCAGTTCCCTCAGCCGCTCCTCATAAGACTCATAAGATTTGTAGCACCTTTTTAAAATTTGGTCATCTATCTTGTTCTGCCATTTTGATCCCATCCATTATTTTCCCCTTCTAGCTACCCGACACCTTTATACAGGACTGCTGCTGCAAGCATGTTGCTGTACTCTCCCGAGTAAAAGCTGCATAAGAATAGGACGTTGAATAGATGTGGCTGTAAGCAGGAGTAGGACTATAAAGCATGAGCACTACAAGCAGCACTAGAAAGATCATAAGCTACTTTAAAAAAAAAAATCCTATATATTACAGGGCTTTATATAACTGTATGTTACCCCTGAGCTTATTTACAGTGGTGCCTTGTCTGTGTCTTCCAGAAAGCCACATGCCACAGGACAGGAAGACATAAATTATTTCTGCCTAAAAAGAAGCTAATATCTGGGCTGGAGATTCAATTCAGTGGAGTTAAGAATGATTTAGGGCGCCTGAACCTCATTATGCCTGTCCTTTCCCAGTTAGCGCGGCAAAGCCACGAGGAATAGCGATGAGCAGAGCCACCTAGTGAAGCCAGGAGGGATAAAGCAAGTCTTTACAGTGATCTCCGCTTTTGAAAAGAGGAAAAGTATTATTCAAATCACATTTAAGTTGGTAAGTGGCTCTAGATCTGGTTCAGACCCGCAACGTTTTAATAGCATTTCCAAATTAAATATATGGATACATATTTGATCAGCTTTCATATATTAGTCCTCTTTCCCCTTCTACCCATTTTTTTCTGCAGGTAAAGGAAAATCTGGAATCAAGAGTAATAGATTTTTCTGATCTTTTCATGTTTGCCCTCCCCATTTTCCCAGCTGGGGTGACTAGCTGACTTGTCCTTGTCTTCATTTCAGTTCCTCTTCCTTCCAGTCCACCTATAAGTGCACCAATAACTTCTCTTTGCTACTTGCATTTTCTTGCAGGCGGCAAAAATAGCAAAGGTTCCTACATGTAATATACATAATGGCTTGAAATCAATTGACAAAGTTAAATTCAGCAAAGCACCCTCTTGTATTAAAATTTAAAGCATCATTTAGTATATTTGCTATTTAAACAGATACACTAAAACCCCTTGTGTAAAAATAACTTTAATGACATTTCAAAGTCAGCCAACTAGAAAATATCTTAGTTATATTGTGCAGTGAAGACCAAAATCAGCCTCTGCCTTTGTGGATCTAGAGGGGCCCTGGTTTCCCATTAGTGCTGCGTAACAGGGCTTGTGCTCCTGATCACACGATGGCTGGAAGAAGCACGTGGCCACGCAGCCCTTGTCTGGATCTGTCCCTGTATTACAAACAGACCAAAGGGAAGAGGAAAAAACCAAAACAGAGAGGTGCTAGAAATTCAAAGCATGGTTAGGAACCTGGCTTGCTAAAATCAGTGAAATTTTGCCTCTGAGTGAGAAAGGGGATTTCACCCAAGTTCTGTTGTGCGTGAGCTCAGGGCTCTCCTCCCTGCCATACACCATCCTCCAGAAGGACCCTTTTTCCCAGGGGATCCAGAAGGAGCACGGGGAAGTTTTGCTTATGCCAGGTTTAACCAGGCGTCAGGCAGGCTGGATCACCTTAGCAGGCACGCAAGGTGTTTGTCCAGCCCTCCCCCAGATTAGCTTATGGAATGGATACCATGTCCCACCCAGCATCAGGGACATTCATAACCCACGACGGGACATGTCACGGTCTACATGATTCAAGCAGTGACTCAGACAAAGTCTGTGCATTTGTGACAGCTTTCGTGGGGTCATGGCATTTAGAGAGAAGAGCCACCTCTCAGACAGATCACCATGTCTATTGATTCCTCTCTTCAAACTCCAGCCAGTCTTTCCAGAAAGACGTATTTGATATTAAACTGATCGTTACGCTTGATCTTAGCCCAAAAGGCACATCCCCGGCTGCTGGATACACAATATTTGTGCATAAAGAAAATCTTTCTGCCTTTCAGTCCAGCCTCTTTTCCTAAGCCTTGTCTCATTCAATAATTTACCAGCTGTTCCAGAAAACACTCTGGCTTCAGCAGCAAGGAACTTTAATTGATTTGCTGATGTCTGGAGCTATGTTAAAATATAGAGTCAAATGCTAGAGCGGATTTGCTGATGTGTGCATGTAAACTTCAGAAAGCTGACTATGGGCCAGCAGCTCTCCCCACCACCCCTTCGTTAGCACGGGGTGGTGCAGAATATAAATTCCTGTGGCTTTGAGCACCTGCAGCATGGCTGGGGCTGACCTTCCGCTTGAACTGCTCCCAGTAAAACTGCAGCAGAAACCCAGCAGGAAGGAGGTTGAGCTGCTTGGAGCTGTCATTAACTTCCAGTTGGGCTTTGAATTAATCGGACAGCCAGTAGCGCCTGCCAACAAAACAGAGTCCTTCCCGGCTCTACAGCAGCGTGGTAATGGGTATGCGAGGGTTGGGGATCACGGGCCAGGGAGGCCCAGGCTTTAGCTGTGAAGATAAGGCAGGCAAGGAGGTGAGAGCATCGCTTATCTCTGCCTGCACCACGGCTCATGTCAGCTCTGGTGTAGCACCTTTCATGGGGAACTAGCACCCCGCACAGAGGGACGTGGGTGCCATCCAGGTTGAACCCATGGGACGCTGCAGCGGCCGACACCAGTGTTTCCTGCCCCTTCTTTTAAATCTTGGCATTGTGGTGCTGCAGTGGGAGGAGAGAGACAGGTGAGAGCCTACAGGGGCCGAGGGAAGGAAAGCTGCCTCTGCACATCACTGTCAGTGTTTATTTATTTATCATGTAACGGTAGTTACAGCTGGAAAAAGCAGGAGGGGGATTGCTGCCAGACAATGTATCTAGGGAGATGTTTTGTTAGTGCCACCAGCTGTCCCCTTGGAATAGAGAGCACGTCTG